AATCTTAGATTTTAACCATTTTAAGTAGAAAATATAGTAGACATATAGTAGACAGAGCTTTAAAAAGGATATCGCATTTGCAGAATTAACGGTGGACGTCATAACTAGATTGCATAACAACTGCACTCCGACATCATTCCCTCCATTTTTGCAAGAGGTGCTGCATTTGTATCTTGCATTTTGAATGCGAGCTCAAAATGTTTGCACATGTCTCTCAGCATCTTGACTTTGAGACTAGGCAACCTTGCTTCTCTTGCCAATGAGCACACATCATATATATCCAACATGATTGGATGTCTCAATCCTATCTCATGCATTACTGTGTTCCTCGCCTCTCTCAAACACTTTTGAGGAAATTATTTATTACGTTACATGTCACCTCATTTTTCCAACAATTAGCTATATCTATGTTGTAAAGCGCGTAGTTTTATTAGCTGTAATTCATACGTCTCTTTCGGTACTGGTTTCCTTGGGATTAATAACACTAAATTCTTGAAGCGGTATTCGTCACAAGAAGTCCTGTTTTCAGTCGCGTTCCTCAGAAACTTCATTCGGAGACTCACGAGGAGTTTCCGGTTTGTTTAACTTGCCTCAGAGTACTGACTCAATAAATAGTCATTTCTGCTTAATCCATTTGTCAAAAGAGAGTTTCACAGAAGGAGAGCTTATCTTTGCAAGGGCTGGCCTTTTCGATGTAGAAGACTCAGTTATGGCAAAAAGTGGGTCTACGCAAAGCATAGGCACACTTATGGGAAGTTCTGGCGCCAAAGGTCAGCGTGCCAGTATCCAACACGCCCTGGCAGCGATTCCAAAGGGGTAAAGAGCCGGTATTCTGTCAATTTGCAAATGTCAAAGGCCATTTCTAAGATGTATGGCGTTCTATAGAGGTTTAGACAATACTGCAGCTGAGGGAGCAGATGGTTTCAAGGATTTTCTCCAAATTATAGACGAATTGGAAAGCGTGGGAGTAGAAAAGGACTAGTGTAAAGGGGTTCGGAAGAGGCTTCAGGAGAGTAAGTTGTATTTGAAGACTACATACCATAATCACTGCGAAGAGGACGATAGTAAATGTGCCGATCACTGTAGGCTCTTTGTACTGAGCGATGCTGCTGACACTGACGTTCAGAAAGTATGCAGTCACAGTCACAACGTGAAGTGTGAGGATTGTGAGAAGCTGAAGAGTGTTCTTGAAGAAGTAAAAGGCGCTATTTCTAAGTACACAATTCAATTGGGTAGGTTCCAAGGGGAAGACTATCTGTATGAAGCAAAAAATGCTGCCGGTAAGATCTTTGAATGGAGAGGGCATATCGTGAGAGCAAAAACCAGGATCAGTACAAGCAGCAAATTGTTGATAATTTAAAGGGAGGTAAAGCATTTATAATAGTTGACTGGACAATGAAGTTCATAGCGATGAAGTTCCAGGAAAAGCAAGCAGAATGCTTTCTCAAGAGGGAAATCAATTGGCATGTGAGTAGCGTTGTTGTAAGACAGGAGGAAAGCCTGGAAGTAACCTCATACGTACACCTTCTTAACAAACAAGACTGGTTTTCAGTGCTGTCAGTCTTAGAAAATATCTTTGTCACCATAAAGTTACGAAATTCAGGCACAAAAAAGGCCTTTCTAAGATCGGATGAAGCGGGTTGCTATCACAGAAGTAAGCTGGTATCATCTCTACGAGGTCTCGGATATCAAGATTGCCACTTTCAGCTACTTACACAACTTTGAGTTTACACAAGGGGGCCTGTCCGTTTGAAGAGAGTTTAATGTTGGACCTGGAAAGTTTATTCGGTAAAATTAAAATTGCAATTTTTCCACAGAAAAAAGACGGATCTGGTGGAGGAGATTCCATTTTTCCCCACTACTGCTCGACGAACTGCATCAGCAGGAGAAAGCAATGATGGCAACGACGTTAGTTCCTATCAATGCCCTGAACCTGGTTGCGATGAAGATTTTAAGACCCAGGCCGACCTTGACTTCCATATGAACTAGCTAGTTCCTCATGTAAGTCCTGTGCCTACGAGCATGACTTAAAGTCTTTGTGACAAAGTGAAGAGGTAGTGGGTTCACACTTTCATTCATTGTCATTAGAGGGTGAAAGTTCGACTGAACTGGTTGCAGTAGCCACAGAACCCTTGACAAGTACATCAAAGCTTCTCGTGGGATGGGCTCTTCATAAGAGAGGTGCAAGTGAACGGCTTTCGCAAAACGTCAGGCAGTACTCGACACAGAAATTTAATATCGGATGAGACACTGGCAGAAACCAAACCCAGAGAAAGTAACAAAGGATATGCGAACTGTTACGATATGCACAATTTGATTGACAGCTTACCTTATTTGGTTATTGGCTTAATTAAAAATATGCAGTGATTTCACTGCTAGTAGTTGCGTGCCTCCAACATGGCGTATTGAGTTTCTTGTAGTATAGAACAACACGAAACATGGTGTCAGGAGTAAAGTTATACCGTGCTCGTAAGTTAAATTAAAGTTGAATTACTTCGAAAAGCAAGCGAAGATGTCGGATACTGAACCAGAAATTCCTCCCACACCGAGTGCGAGTGGTACCGCTGCCGTTGTGAGTCAAACACATGGTCCCCGATTCGTGCCGTCCAATTTTCCAGTGCCTCAAGTAATGGTCTGCAAGGGGGATAAAGCGTCTAATTGGGAGTTCTTCCGACAACAGTATGGAGATTACAAAATTGCCACGGAACTCTGTCAGCAGTAAATGTCAGTTCACCTGGCTTCCCTTCGTTCGATTATGGGAAAATAATGTTTACAAATTTTATGAAATTTGAGCTTGACCGCCGAACAACAAGCAACCGTGAAAGGATGTTTGGATGGTTTGGAAGCACACTTTAAGCCTCAGCGAAATGTTGTGTATGAAAGATATGTGTTCAACAGCTGTGTACAAATTGTAGAAGAAAGTGTGGACGTCTATGTCAATCGACTTCGAAAAATCGCTTCATCTTGTGAATTTGGCGCGTTAACTAACGAGTTAATTCGCGATCGGCTTATCATTGGAGTGAAAGATAGGGATTTGAAAGGTTTGTTGTTGCAAAAAGCCATAGAAATTTGTAAATCAAACGAAATTACGAAGCAGCAATTGAAGAGCCTGGAAAACGAAGAAAAGAAACCTCATGAAGAAGTCAACATGTGTAAACAAAGTGGCAGCCGCTCGTCAAGAACAACAAAGAAACCGCCCGCACAAGACTTGAAAAAGAAAACACCTGACTTCAAAACTAAACCCGAGAAAGGAAACTCGAAGCGAAAATGCAAGTATTGTGGTAAACAGATGCACAACAAGAGGCAACACTCGGATTCTGATCTCTAAGTTCTCACAGTGGATGTAGTCTCCGCAATCGCCAGTAAAGGTAAACAAGTCCTTGCCAAGTTAACATTCTGCATTCAAGACAAATACAAGACGTCTATGGAGTGCCAACTAGACACCGGTGCCTCGTGCAATGTGATCAGTCATCGAGATCTGTCTATTCTGTTGCAGAACGGATCACCTCCACTTAACCACAGGTCAGTGAAGCTTAGATTGTTTGATGGATCAATCATGCACACCCTGGGAGAAACACACCTAACTGCAGAACACGAAGGAAAATGCCACACCCTAAAGTTTCAAGTGGTCGACTGCACAAACAAACCTTTGCTATCTGCTGAAGCCAGTGAGCGAATGGGTCCTCTGAAGTTCAACTTCACCCCTCTGGAACGTGTGAACATGGTGAAAAATATGGCAGACCTCCCTCTTACAAAGGAAAAGATCTAAAGCAGTTACAAAGATGTTTTTGATGGCTTGGGACACATCAGTAACTCCTCGTTGGCAACAGATGACAACAACAGATGTGTACCAGTCGCGCTTTGCGACGAGGTAAAAGACAAGCCGTCAGACCTGGAGAAGAGAGGCATCATTCAGAAGGTAACTCAACCTACGGAATGGATTAGTAGCATGGTGGTTGTAGCAAAACCGGGCAAAATAAGGATATGCTTGGATCCTAGAAACTTGAACAAAGCCTTGAAACGCCCTAAGTACCAGATGCCAACACTGGAGGAACTTCTTCCCAAACTAGGAAAAGCAAAGGTATTCTCCACGCTTGATGCGAAAGATGGATTTTATCAGATCGCCCTGGACAAAGAAAGTAGCATGAAAACAGCATTTTGGACCCTGTGTGGACGATACTGTTACAAACAAATGCCTTTTGGAATCAGCGTAGCACCTAAAGAGTTCGAGTGTAAGCTTCAAGAAAAGTTAGCTGACCTTCCTGGAGTGGTTGTGGTACGTGATGATATCTTAGTCATGGGATACGGAGACAGTCAAGAGGAAGCAATGAAAGACCATGATGACAACTTGGTAAAACTTCTTCAGCGAGCGAGACAAGCAAATCTGAAGCTAAACAAGTCCAAGATGAATCTGAGAAAGCCTAAAGTATCATTTATGGGCCATGTCATCACAAGCAAAGGTCTAAAACCAGATCTAAAGAAGGTGAAAGCGGTGGAAGAAATGCCCAGACCTACAAGTAAGAAGGAATTGTCAAGTCTTCTTGGTTTTGTGAACTACTTATCCAAGTTTCTACCCCGACTTACCGAAGTAGCCAAGCCACTACGAAAACTCACATTCAAAGAAGCAAGATTTCTCTGGTCACTGCAACACGAAACTGCCTTCTCTGACATCAAGCAGCTTGTGGTCAACAATCCTGTACTAAAATTTTATGACCCTCTCGCTGAGGTGACCTTGCAGTGTGACGCCAGAGAATACGGATTAGGCGCCACTCTCCTTCAAGATGGCCAATCTGTAGCATTTGCATCTCGCACTTTGTCACCCACTGAAAGGAACTATGCTCAAATAGAGAAAGAGTGTCTAGCGATCGTTTTTGGATGCCAACGCTTTGACCGGTACCATTTTCCTGAAGCCTATTCATGCAGCACCGTGCAGACTCCAAAGGATGCTTTTACGTCTATTGAGATACAACCTTGAGGTACAGTACAAGAAAGGAAGTCTAATGTACTTGGCTGATCATCTCTCAAGAGCTCCAGTAGTTGAGAGAAAAGAAGCGGATGAGCTAGATGAATTCCAAGTGTTTGCTTTGGAAGTAGAGAACCTCAACCCCTTTGATGCAATCAAGTTGTCCCCTGGGAGACTTGAACAGTTGCAAACATGCACAGCCCAAGACCCAGTTCTACTGACACTGAAGACAACTGTCATTACTGGATGGCCAGAGGTAAAAGAGCAAGTGCCCATCCCTATCAGAGATTACTGGCTTTATCGTGACGAAATCTCAGTACACAATGGAGTGCTGTTCAAGAACCACAGAGTTATCATACTAAAGCTTCTGAGAGAAGAAATCATGTCAAGGATCCACTCAAGTCATTTGGGTATAGAGTCCTGTCGGAGGAAAGCAAGAGTTGTGGTATTTTGGCCGGGGATGAACAGTCAGATCAAAGAAATCGTGTCCAACTGCCATGTCTGTGCAGAATTCCAAGCACGTAATCCAAGACAACCCTTACAGACACATGAGATTCCTGAAAGACCATGGAGCAGAGTCGCAGCCGACCTCTTCATTCTTCATGGCGAGAGATACATTGCTCTAGTGGATTACTTCTCCGACTTCATCGAAGTAGCCGAATAACCTGACACAACATCAAGTTCAGTGATACAGTTCTTAAAGGAACAATACAGTCGCCATTGCATCCCAGGCTGCCTTGTCACCGATAATGAATCACAGATTGTCAGCCAGGAATTTATGCAGTTCGCAACAGATTGGGAGTTCAAGCACGTGACCTCCTCACCAAGATACCCGAGATCTAATGGCAAAGCAGAATCTGCTGTTAAAATTTTCAAGAGTTTGTTCAAAAAAGCTTTTAAAGATAATAGAGACCCTTGGCTTGCTCTTCTCGATTATCGCAACACTCCTACTGAAGGTATGAAGTCAAGCCCCACTCAGCACCTCATGTCACGAAGAACCAGAACACTGTTGCCAACAGCCACTAGCCTACTGCAACCAAAAGTCCTTGAGGGAGTGAACAAGAAGATCAAAGTGAAGAAACAAAAGGCGAAGTACTATCAGGATCGTACTGCAAGAACACTGCCAGAGATAGAAATCGGCTAGGAAGTGAGGGTTGCCCCTCAGGAGCGAAACCAGCCTTGGAAGAGTGGAAGATGCGTAAAGAAGCTATCTGATCGTTCCTATTTGGTGGAGACCTCTAGTGAAACATTACGGAGAAACAGGCAAAGCCTAAAACCAGCACCGTCAACATCATCCCAGTCATTGGGCAGACAGTCAAAACCAACGACACCTGCCTCAACTACAAGCTTTGAAGCCAGCCCACCCGATTCAAAGACAGCTGCCATAGCTCCTGAAACCCAAACAGCTCCACAGATGAAATCACCAGAAGTTCCAGCTGCTCCCAAAGTACTCAGGACCAGAACAAGGATTGTGAAACCACCATCAAGATACCAAGACTTTGTAACGACTTGAAGGATGGACTGCTAGTTTAAAAAAAAAAAAAAAAAAGAAGTTCATTGTTGTTGCTGCTGCTCCGCTGAAAGCAACTTTAAAGAACATCGCAGAGGCATTTTGTTTGTAATGTTTATTACGATTTGTTTAAGTTGCAGTTCATTCTTGTGTAGTTATTTTTTTCAAGAGAAGGGAGATGTTACGATATGTACAATTTGATTGACAGCTTACCTAATTTGATTATTGGCTTAATTAAAAATATGCCGTGATTTCACCGCTAGTAGTTGCGTGCCTCCAACATGGCGTGTTGAGTTTCTTGTAGTATAGAACAACACGAACTGCTTGCACAATAGATGGAGAGAGAATGTTCGATATAACAGAATGGTTATCCAACATACAGGTTCAGGATTTCTTCTCAAGATTGTGCCATAAACAGTGATCTAATATACAACAAGAATCGGACGATGCCACCGACGCAGAAGACCACTTGATAGAGGCATCCCCGTCTGATGTAGACGAAGGGTGTTTGAGAGAGGCGAGGAACACAGTAATGCATGGGATAGGATTGAGACATCCAATCATGTTTGATATATATGATGTGTGCTCGTTGGCAAGAGAAGCAAGGTTGCCTAGTCTCAAAGTCAAGATGCTGAGAGACATGTGCAAAAATTTTGAGCTCGCATTCAAAATGCAAGATACAAATGCAGCACCTCTTGCAAAAATGGAGGGAATGATGTCGGAGTGCAGTTGTTATGCAATCTAGTTATGACGTCCACCGTTAATTATGCAAATGCGATATCCTTTTTCACTAGGACTCTTCAAACTTATGAACAGAGACTGTTATGCAGACAGGTGTGACGACAAAATATCATTTTTTCCCTTTCAGCCAGAAATCCGAGCCATCGCTGCTTTATTACGAAGGGAGAAGCAATTCAGGATAATTACACAATTGAATTACGTGACAGCGGTCACGGTGTATTTCAGTGTGTGTTGTTATCGCCGGTTACATTAAATAGAACCTTGTAGTCTGGTTTTGAAATGTTTATACAGGTTTGAATAGCGTAAGCTGTCAGAACTAAAATATGAAATAACAGAAGCCAAATTTTTAAAAAAGAGTTTGCGAGCGCTAATCAAATTATGTTATTCGATACGTTGTTGTTGACGTCTTTCATCACGAGATATTAAAATTTGTTAAATTTTGGCCTTTTAAAATGTTTAAGGTATTAATCGGTGTGGTCTGGACTTGAGCAATATCAACCAGGAAAGAAAGAGTACTTTTAACCAATTTCAGAAAGCTGTCCAACGAGTGTTTTTAAATAAATTATGACGAGCCTCTGAATAAACGAATATCAAAATTGAAATGCATTTTATACACCTTATATATCACACACTTTAAGAATACAAAATATTTTTTGCTGCATGCGGTGTGATACGAGGACCAGGCTATTCAACTTTTGAAATTTTGGATATCGCATGAGGTCAAAAAAGGGCCTTTTGCAGCTTTGACTTTTGAGAGCTCTAAAAATTTTATTTTAACGTATTTCCAGAAACTAATGTGGTTTCATATACTTATACCAGTTTGAGGGAAAACTTTTTTCCAATGCGAATGCCCTGGACCGCTCTTACAGAGATCGCCTCTTAAGTCTTTGCAAGAAAGCACACCATTAAAATGAACTATCTGCTTGTGAAGGAATAAATAGTCGGTAAAACATTTTAGTTCCATGTCATGTATGCTGTAATGGGACAGTTTCCTTAATAGAACAGAGGGACTAATGGTATCAAATGCCTTTGTTAAGTCAATGAGAATTGCTCCTGTCGTCATAACACTATCAGCCTTCCTTCGGATAAGATCAAAGAAGTAAGTAATAGCTAGCTCTGTTGAGCAGTTGCAACATAAACCAAACTGGTACTTAAAAAGTAGACTATAATGCTCCAGATGAGCCATCGACTGCTTGTAGACTATTTTTTCTATGATCTTTGAGAAAGTATGGAAAACTGATGGGCCTATAGTTTTCAATGTCAGCCAGATACCCATATTTATAGAGGGGGATCACCTTGGCCACTTTCCACTCACTAGGCACAACTCCAGTTTCAAGAGATAAATTAATGACAAATGGTTTAGTCAAAACAAGAGCAGCATCTTTGAGAAATCCTGAGGGAAAATTACCCAGTCATTATGCTTTCTTTCATTTAGGGTTTCTTAGCTCTTTAAGAATATCTGATTCTCTTGCAGTTTGAAAAGTAAACTGACTTTCCTCATGTTAACAATCCAAGAGTCTCCTAGGACTACCTAAATGTTCTCATTAAAGGAAAGAATGTACCTCAGCACATCACCCATGAGGTCAAAAAAAATGAGGTGATGTCTGATCCTAAAAGAGTGGCTAAAGCATTCAATGCAACTTTTATGAATATCAAAAAGAGGTAAATTGATCAAAGCTTCCAGGGTACACCCAATTTTCAGAAGTTGCCGTCTTTCATAAATAAGATGAATGGTCTAAATAAGTTAAAAATTTTTCAGTCTCAGAAAATTTGTTATTCTCATTCTCTTTGTTGTAAATTAGACCACTTGGCATTGTTTCATTTTTTACAATTTCATTGCAACTTATCTCATAATCTCAACATCTTTAAATATAGTTACCTCTTCTATCACAGTCTTTTTGTGCATCAGCCGGGCATAAACCATGCACCTAGGGCATTAGTCACTCAAGTCAATTACTCTGTTCATAGACTAAGCACCTTTCTGAGGATTCATGCAGATCCCAGCATGCAGATCTTTTGAATCTCTGTCACAGCTGCTTCTGATACTTTCGTGCATCAGTCTCTGGTTCATGTTGGTACCATTTGTCTGTAATCTTGATATAATGATCTTTACAGATGCTCCAATGGAGATATGCTGCATCATTATTGTGCCTGGAGATGTATTCTGTATTAGCTAATACCTCACATCCAGATACAATATGATTCATTTTCTCTTCTTATTGCAAACACATTCTGCATCCACTTGCTGGCCACATATTACTTTCTGGTAGTTTCTGATGTTTATTGCCCGGTCTTGAGCTGCCACAAGTACTCCCTCTGTTTTTCCTTTCAGATTACTTAACAACCATTTGTTGAAGATGACTGTGTCTATGTGAGGCTTGTCTACAATCCTGGGATACTGGTCATGCAGTGCTTTGTTTTTCTACTTCTCTTCTTTCATGGATCTCATCTTAGACTTCAATATGTGTTTCTGGGCCTTAGCATTTTCCGAGGCTCATTCATATTCTCTATTCTCAAACCCCGGCATTGTTACTTCCCTTTTGAACTTAGTAGTATTCTTGGATGTTGAATTTTTTACTTTAGACCTTTCATGTTAAAGCACCTGCTTTGAATATTGCCCTTCTTTGTGCCCCCTGGTGATGACTGAGCCCTATTGTTACTGTTTTGAATGCTGTTTCTACATCAATCAGGCACCTTCCTCCATCTTCTCTTGAGATGTATTATTATAATTATTATCATTATTATTCTCAATGTTATTATTACTATTATAGGGAGGTTGAAACCTGGATGACATAACACATTGAATGGTGGGGAAAGGAATCTTCAGCAAGTAAGCAGAAGTGTGAGGGCTTGAGTGGTTTTAAGTTTAAGCAATTAGAACAGACAACATATTTAGGGGGAGATTAAAAGTTTGAGATACCTGGGCTACTGTGATTAAGGGAGGTTTGATGGATCATATATAATAAATGAATGTACAGTTGACAAATGCACTTTTGTAACAAACAATGAAAAGCAGTTCGTGTAGTGTGATCGTCTAGGTGAGTGTAGTTCTGAAAAGAACTGTTGTTGGTGACTGACGTTTCGACTATCTGTGCGATAGTCATCTTCAGAGTCAAGTGAGGAGTAGTTGTCAGTCGATGATGTTATAAAGTCTGGTCTGTTGAACGTGATTGGTCTGTTTAGCCGTGATGTGATTGGCTGGAAGACTCGTGTAGAGTTTGTTAACAGTCATTGGTCGGTTTCGATCCGTCTGTTGTTTGTCGGTCTGTTTGTCGGTTTGTTCACGTCATTAATGAGTCGTTTGTAAGGTGCTGGTAATTGTTGACATCTGTTGAGAGGCGTCTGTTCTAAGTTAGTGAACCAGCTTTCCAGAGTCAGTCGTTGAAAATAGTTTGTACTGTAGGTTAAGCATTTAGCAGAGTCCCAGTCGATTCTGTGATTAGTTTGTCGGTGATGTTCAGAAATGTGATTGTTTACATCGCCATTTCTAGTTGCTCGTTTGTGTTCAGTAAGTCGCGTGTTAAGGTTTCTACCAGTCTCACCAATGTAGGAGGCCTGGCAGTCGGAGCATTCGATCTTATAAATCGCTCCCTGTCTGTTGTTGGGTTCGTCTTTGTCTTTAACGTTGGTCAGCAAATGTCGTAAAGTAGTAATAGGCCTGTGAGCTACGCGAATGTTGTAAGGTTGTAGGATCCGCGCGATAGCCTCAGAAGTGCCTTTGATGTAGGGTATAGCAGTTTATAATATAAATGAAAAGCAGTTTATAATATAAATGAACATAGTATGCATCGTCTGATTGGTCACTTCATTTTCCAAGAGGATGCTTTATCAGTTTATAGAGTCTACATTTGATTGGTGACAGCTATGACAAGATTCCAGTATTTCCATGATGG